CCGACATTTTTTTCGGAATCACTCCTTGAGGGTTTCAGAAGGATCCAAAAGAGCTCCGAAAGGCCCCCCAGAGGACCCCCAAAGCGCCCCCAGGGAAGGAGCTGAACTCGGACCCGGCTGAACTCGGACCGGGCTGAACTCGGACCCGGCTGAACTCGGACCTGGCTGAACTCGGACCCGGCTGAACTCGGACCTGGCTGAAATCGGACCCGGCTGAACTCGGACCCGGCTGATCTCGGACCTGGCTGAACTCGGACCCGGCTGAACTCGGACCCGGCTGAACTCGGACCCAGCTGATCTCGGACCCGGCTGAATTCGGACCCAGCTGGTCTTGCTGCGGAGTCAGGCTTTCGCCGAGTTCACCGCAAGGGGATGGGGCTGATATCGGATTTGGCCGACTCAGACCTGCATGGTTGATCTCGGACCTGGCTGAACTCGGACCCGGCTGAACTCGGACCCAGCTGAACTCGGACCCGGCTGAACTCGGACGCAGGCCCGCGGCTGCTCCCGGACCCCACTGAACTCGGACCAGGCTGATTTCGGACCTGGCTGATTTCGGACACAGGCCCGCGGCTGCTCCTGGACCCCACTGAACTCGGACCTGGCTGATCGCGGACCTGGCTGATCTCGGACCCGGCTGAGCCCGGACCCCGCCGCCCCGCCGAACTCGGATTTGGCTGGCCTCGTGCCGCGGCCGCTCTGGCTGCGGCGCGAGCCTCCTGTCGTGTGCGCCGGAGGGGAAGGGGCTGATCTCGGACACGGCTGAACTTGGACTGGGCCGATCTCGCACGCGGCTTCACTCCGATCGGGGCGGCGCGATCACCCTCGGCGGCCTAGAGGTTGACACCAATACCAATATCGGCGGCGTGCTTCCACCGAGGGAAGATGATCCCGATCCAGATGATGGTGGTAAGATTCGGGCTTTCTAAGTGGCCGAAAGATTACCACCAACACCGAAATCCAGGATCATCTTCCTCCCGTGGAGGCAACCCCTGATGTTGGTGTTGATGCCAATTTCCAAGCTTCCAACACCCGCGCCACTGACGAGCCGTGGGAAGCGGCGGTGCAGGCGCACGGTGAGGTGGCGACCCCAGCTGGGGGGGGCGGCGGCGCTGCCGGGCATGCTGGCGAGTCCGCCCGAGCCGCGGCGGCGGGCGGAGAATGAGCGGCAACAGCAGGTGCTGCGTTTCTGTCAAGCCGCAGCTGCGAGGTCGCCCGCTCAGCTGGGAAACACCCCGACGGAGCCGCTTACTACCACCAACGCCATGCTCGCCGAGACCGTGGGCGGCAACGGGGCGACGCAGATAGATATCCGGATGGGGCATGAGATCGCCGACGCAAAACAGGATACCAATCTGATGCGTAAACGTGTCGTGTTGTCGTGCTTTCGTTTTTTTTCTCCGCGCTGTCTGTGGCGCCTGCTTTGCTATGGATACTGATCTCGGACCCGGGCCGAACTCGGCCCGGCTGATCTCGGACCCAGGCCCGTGGCTGCTCTCGGACCCGCTGAATTCGGACCCGGCTGAACTCGGATCCAATTGAACTCGGACCGGCTGAACCCGAACCTGGCTGATCTCAGACCCGGCTGAACTCGGACCCGGCTGAACTGGCACCCCGCTGGACTCGGACCGGACTGATGTCTGATTTGGCTGATTTGGTAGTCGGCCGCTCCTGGCTGCGGCGCGAGCCTCCTGTCGTGTGCGCCGGAGGGGAAGGGGCTGATCTCGGACACGGCTGAACTTGGACTGGGCCGATGTCGCACGCGGCTTTATTCGGACTGGCCGAGCTCGGATCGCTTGAATTTGGAGCCCGCTGAACTCTGATCTTCGCGCCGCGAAGAATCTTGTTGAGGTGGCCTTCGCGGCGCAGCGGCTCTCCGACACTACATCCTGCCAGGTGCTCGTTTCGGGCGGCGCGATCACCCGCGCCACTGACGAGCCGTGGGAAGCGGTGGCGCAGGCGCACGACGAAGTGGCGATTCCAGCCAGGGGGGCGGCGACGCTGCCGGGCATGCTGGCGAGTCCGCCCGAGCCGCGGCAGCGGGCGGAGAATGTCACCACCCACCAAACCACCCCAGCCCAACCCGAAGGCCCCAATTCGCAGGGCGTGCTGCAGGGCGTGCTGCGTGTCGCGCAGGCCGCGGCAGCTGGGAGGCACGCCGACGCAGCCGCTCGCTGCCCGCCCGCGCACCGCCCACGCCATGCTCGCGCCGAGACCGCGGGCGGCAGCGGGGCGACGCAGTTAACTAGATATCGGGGGTGGATGGACCTCCTACCCTGACACGTCGATTAGTGAATTGGCCGTTTTCGGTTCGCGAGATGGCATCGCGGCCGTCATTTTTGCGGGACCAGGTCCGTCGGTTTCGGTCCTAGGCCGTTGTCACTAAGGGGAGGTTTACTAAAGGGGGGTCTGTCCACCGCCGAAGATACCCGAGTTGGGGATGAGATCGCCGACGCAAAGCTGGATACGAGATCTGATGCGTAAGCTGAAGTCGGGCCTGTCCCCCTACAGGGGGATCTTTCGAGGAGAAATTCGAAATAGTCAGCAATAGGCAAGCATAGTCAAGATACTCAGAAAGTCGTCCCCAGGTTATTTTTTGACTATTTTTGAGCATTCCTCCTGCAGAGGGACGGGCCCGACTTCAGCGTAAGCATACCGTGCTGCTGTGCCGCTGTAGATTTTCCCCGCGCTGTCTGTGGCGCCGGCTCTGCTGCGGATGTGGCTGTTCGCTTCGTGTCGGCGTTCGCGGGATCGGCGAGGCTTCGGTCACTCGGTTCCGCCCTGTAGCTCCGTGAACAACAGCGCCGCGCGACAGGAGCACGAGGGGATGCATCCAGCTGCCCGCCGCCAGGGGGCATGACACGGGCCCATTCGCGGCCAGTTTGTGGGGATG